CAATAATCATCAAAGTTCTTAGATGTAAACTCTGCAGCATTGTCAAGTCTTATAGACTTGATCGGGTGGTCAGGGTGGTGAGCCCTTAAACGAATTATTTGTGCCAAGAGTTTTGCAAATGCAGCATTTCTTGTTGATAATAATGTAACGTGTGACCAACGTGTCGAGGCATCAACCAGTACCATAAAATACCGAAATGTTCCGCTTTCTGGTTGTATTGGCCCACATATATCTCCTTGTATCCGTTGTAGGAATGGTATATTTTCTTTTGAATCTTTAGCATATGATGGTCGTGATCCTGTTTTTGCTAATGAGCAGGCTTTACAAAAGGATTTGTGGACATGTGACATTGTCAAAAAATTATTTTGAGACGAGGACGATGCTTCAATTTCTTTAGAAGGCATTTGTCGCAGTTGGGCAAGATTGGGCCGACCGCTTTTCAAGCTGTCGGGTTTTTGTTTCGCTTTGTCCTTGCCTCGAAAGAAAGGATGACCGTGAGAGTTTTTTAGGATACGAATCATCATGTCACAACCAGGATGCCCTAGTCGATCATGCCAAAGTATATATCGTTTAGTATCCCTTATGTCATCATGACTTATAGAATAAGAATCAATTATTCGAATTGTAGTAATATACAGTCCACTACTCTTACCCTTAAACTTCTCTAAGATGTGCTTTCTTCCGCATTCATTAGAAGTAATGTAAAGGTATTCAATACCATTCTCACAATGAGTTTCAACATGAAAGCCATTGTCACGGATGTATTTGAAACTTAACAACGTTCGAGTAGCTCTAGGTGCATATAGAGCATTTATGGCTTTAATCAATGTATCATTAGGGAGTAAGAAAATGGCAGTACCACGTCCTTGTATTACATGTGACGAACCAATCATTGTTGTCACAGATGAATTATAGGCTACCAAGTTAACAAATAGTTGCCTATTTCGCAAAATGGTATGGGTAGTCCCACTATCTATTAAACACTCAACTTCACTTTGATTCATGCATGTGTAATGAAAGTATTGCATATAGAACTGGAACACACAATGCATATAAAAATAGGGGCATAAGTCCCTTAATTTATTTAAATTGAATGCAAATTTAAAACAATTCCACATAGTCCAAAAATGCAATAAATAGTCTTTGAAACACTCCTAGGAAATTGGAAGAAACATAAAAGAAATTATTCAAAAAAAACATCATGCATGGAGAGAATAAATAGAGTGTATGAATCAAAATCAGGTGTATCTATTGAGTGCACATTATCCCCCTTGTTCGTAAAGTGTGCAAGGGTAAGATTGACATCAGCATCATTGTCTTCTTCGTCCAAATATTGAGATTCATGTTCTTTAGATTGGAGATATTTCTTGTAGCAAGCTGCAACTTTGTTACTAGCGCGACAATGCTTGTACCAGTGTCCGCTAACTCCACATCGGTAACATGGCTCATTCTTTATCACAGGAGGGTTGGATGCATTTGACTTCTTGTTTGTGTGGCCACTTGGTCCATCATTTGACTCTCTTCGCCAAACATTGGAAGATACTCCACGACCTCTACCACGACCACCACGACCCTTACCACGATTAGAGTTATTTCCACGTGGGTAAGGGTTGGCACGTCGAGGTCCCTTTTCATTGGGATGCCTGCCATGTTTTATTTTCCCATAATTGGCTTCAGGAATTTTCTTTGTCCCGACAGGCCGAGCATTGTTATTCACAAGGACTTCATTGTGCTTTTCTGCTGATTGCATCATATTCATCAACTTGTAAAATGTGGTAATTCTTTTGTTTTCATACTCTATCCTGTACTGGTTCGCTAGTATCATGGATGAGGTAGGAAATGTGTCAAGAGTCTTTTGAATCATGTCATCTTCGGTAATTGGCTTACCACAAAAGATGAGACGTGCCTTAAGACGCAACATATCTTTGACAAAGTCATTTGCCCGTTTATAGTCTAGCAAACGGATTTCATTCCATTGTGCATTCAGTTCTGGGAGCAGAGTATCATGAATGTTCCCAAAACGTCCCTTAAGGGCATCCCACAGTTCTTTGGGGGTTTTCAACTGAAGATATTCTCAACGTAAACTTGGGTCAATGTGTCGCCTTAGGAACATTAAAGCATTTGTTTTCACTTTTTCAGATGGTGCATCTTTCAATTCACTGGGGTCTTTAAGTGTGGCAGAGAAGTCTTTAGCCACGAAAGCCATTTCTACGTCAGAAACCCAACGGTGGTACTCAAGTCCTTCTGAGTCCAAGATGTCAGATTCAGGTCTAGTGGGATCAGTCATTTCTAGATAAAATGCAAATAAACAATCATAAGTAAATTGATATCTTGAAATGAGAGTTTTTATCATATAATTCATGCTCTCCCCTTTTTGTTATATACGAAATTTCTTAGTCAAAACTAATATGTATTAGTCATAGAACTCGATTAGTTTTGAGTCTAAAATGGCATATTTGGGTTCAATTGGATGAACCATTTCTTTAAAAAAATCCAAGCAATAGCCAATCTTCATACAATAAGATCCAATTTGTTTGGACTCGTTAGGTTTGGCCCATTACCTTGAGTGAGGCCGAACGTGTACACCTTTTGTTTGTTACCGTAAGGCTAAAGTGTAATTCTTTTAGTTGCAAAATTCATGATTGAGATAAAATCAAATGATCAAATAATCATGAAAATATATATGATACATGAAGTGAAGAGAAAAAAATTTAATTTCAATCAAAAGCAATAGTCCATATAGTTTTCTAATTAACATAAAATTTTAATTTATGAAAAAAGACTAATAATGATAATAATAATGAGGTACGGATCTAATTCCATTTTTAGAATGGATAAAAAAAATGGTGAGCACTCCATGATGCATATACTATGGAAAAAAAATACGAAATATGCATAATCACACATCGGGATGATTCTAAAAAAATATTAAGGCTTAAATATTGGCCATTGGGGTTTTTTTAAAAAAAAAATCAATAAAACATTTTTCTTCAATAAATAATAATATCGATGTGAATAATTATAATAATACACTGTCAAATTTACGTTTTCTTTACTAAGAGAAATTGTTATCTGGGCATTTAAACATTGCAAATATAAAATTGATAAATATAGAATTGATGTAAATTAGGGATGTGATTGGAAATTTGGAAACTGTCAATTATTACACAGCAAGACACTAACGAAATGTTTGACTTTCAATCATATGAGTAAGACTACAATTACTTTTTTTTTTAAAACGAAATTATTAATTACGAGAATCTAAATCACATACCAAAAAATAGAGTATATACAGAGTATAGTATTTGCATCTAATCCATATTTACAGAGTAAAGATCAGCTTTTTTTTTAAGGTAAATTAATTAGAATTGATATTACTGGAGAGAAAAAAAAATTATATGCACAAATCAATTTAAGAGACAGCAACTCCACGAATGTAAAAAAAAATTTGACAATGGCCCATCAATATAAAAGGTTTATTTTATTTTCCCCAAATTTAAATATGTGATTTAAAGAAGGACAAATGTGAATTCATACGCACATGAAACCAAATCTGGGTGTATGCCGATTCCATCATCAATATATAAGATCCATACATGATATTTAATATTTTATAAAAGAAAGGCAGTAAAAAAAACGTATATCTACATAAAAATCACAAAGATCATCAAATAGGGTTTATGCAACCAAAAATTAAGAACGCACATACACATCATATATGTATAATGAAGATCTAATATTATCATGCACAATTAAAAACATAATTGGATAAGAACCTGATAGGGGTATGTGCGGCAGAACAATGGGTGGGGCTGGCTAGATCCTTCCGATTTGATTCGCAGATGGGGTTCTTTTCCTCTGCGATGCAGTGGAGAACGGCGATGCGATACACAGCGGCAGAGATCGGTGATACGATGCACAGCGGAGAACGGCGAAAAGAAAAAAAAAAGGGAGGGAGGCGGACGGAAAAAATTAGGGTTGAGCATAACTTGTTGTGGGAGATGTATCTTTCTCTATTGATAATAGCTCCCTTATATAGGGAAGAGCTTCGTAAGGTTTTACAAGAGAAGGCCCACGGGCCAGTACAACTTATTACACAATATAAAGTAAATTCTATCTACACAACAGAACACTAATTTACAAATTTCTTCAACAAAAAACTATATCATCAAATTATATAAAAAAAGTATTAAATAAATCTAACCGAGCCACTGATGGACCGGATAGAAGACCAAATAAGAGAAAATTGAGGATCAGATACTGGTCCAAACCGGTCTAGTTTTGATTGAGTTTCGGGTAGATCCGGGTTCAGACCAATGCACACCCTCATTACTCCTACTAGAAGTAGAGAGGTTGTTCCAAAAGAGACCTCCAACTCAAGCAAAATAGAAAGAAGATAACACAAGAAAAAGGATCAAAGAGCAATCTAAAAAAAATTAGAAAGCACACAAACAATTGTAAAGAGAAAGACTTTAAGCCTACAATGCCAAAACGGAAAAGATCAAAACAACAATCCTAATCCGAAACGACTATCCAACTACCCTAATTCTAGATCTTGAGATGTTTCTATCTATGGTCATATCCTCGGTAAGAACTAGAAGTCTTGTGTAATCACCTTCTTCCAATTCTTTCTAAGTCTACCCCTTCCTTCATACCCACCTACTTTCATAAGCATCTTGCATCTCAGTGTCAAGCCCTCGTGTGTGTGCCATTTCACGTGACTAAATCGTCTCCACCTAACCAATGCCACTCTAGCACACCTTTGAGTAACCTCATTCCGTAGCACCTCCACTATAATATCCATGTCTCTGTCGTATGCAATTGACAGAGCTTATTTTCTTAACCGTCCCACAATTTGCACCATAAAGCGTAGTCGATTTGACTATAGATTGATAAAACACCCCTTTAAGCGTTTCAAAAAACTTGTTATCACATAGAACTTCTGATGCCAACTTCTACTATGCCCAAACAGCTCACATTGAACATCTCCATATATCTCTCACTCTGCGTGAATGACCGATCTCAGATTACAAAACATAGATCCCTTAGTCCATAAGCACTGGGTGTGAATCAATCCCAAATTCCACCTCAAATTCTATCACCCGATCATTAAAACCATATTCAAGGTACTCGGCCTTAGTCCTGCTTAGTCTAAAATCTTTCAACTTTAAGGAATGACACCACATCTCCAACTTGTCGTTGAGTCACTTGCAAGGCACGTCAACCGTCAGCAAAAAGCATGTATTAAGGGACCTCATCCTAGAGACATGTGATAAAACATACATCCCCACGACAAATAAAAAGGAACTAAGAGCAGACTCCTAGTGTAACCCAGACGCATATATCTTTAACTGTACGAATGTACGCAACAGAATCCTTCTAAGCTCAAGACATTTTCACAAGATCTCTCTCGAAACTCTAAAACAACAACCTATTTGAATCCTACAAGAGTAGAGTTCGGGCAGTGTGTGTTTGCAGAGACATTACCCTACTTTAAAGTAGAGAGACTCTTTCCAAAAAGACCTTCTACTTAGCGTCGAAAGTTGCTCTTTTGGGCGCTCTATATTTAATTTAAATTTTCGTTTCGTATTTTTTTATCTTTCATTTTGTACTTATATTTATCAAAATAACCAAATTTTACGCAAGAACAATAGAAAACAAGAAAAACTTTATGGGAAAAAATGGAAGCACTACAGGACGAAATAAATGTAACGAGGAAAACAACTCTTCTTTTTAATGATTTTATTAATTTTTACTTCTAGCATATACTGCAGTATCATCTATTTATAGTTGATGTAAAATTGATTTTAGCTTATATTCTACTACGTATAACTTAGAAGCTCCCTTGGAGATGAAAAACACTATTGTAACAACTATATTGTCCAAAATTTATTATTTGACTAATATGTTGGAAATGCTCTTACAGATTAATTCTAATAACATTAAAGTTGACTACGAGCATTAGATAACATTTTCAAAACATAAATTTTAACCCCTAACATATCGTCAAAAAGGATTTATAGGCCTAACATGTAAAACAGTTTTGCACTGCTTCACCTGTCGTGAATCAAAACAACACAGAAGCATTTCATTTTAGAAAATTGACCAATAAAACTCGCAAAGCCAAAAAAGAAAAGAAACAAATAGGAACAAAATGGCATTTTGGCATCCCATAAAATAATATTTAGCACACAGGAAAGTCACCCAATCGGACAAACCATAATGTCATTGTAAATTCATTCATAGCAGTGAAAATAAAATTAGTGAGAGTTTAAAACAATAGGGTAAAAGTTACTGCTGCCCCTCGGCGCCCAATTCCCGCTTTGATGCCTCCCTGATCTCATCTCCAGCATCATCCTGTAAAAGCCATACTCATTTAGTGTGCAATTTGTTTACATGAAGGGCATCCCATTCCAGGGAGAGCAAAAGAAAACTTATCAATGAAGCATAAGCCGATGGAATTCGGAAGCATTGACGAAAAAGAGGGATTCTAAGAGGTGGGGTCAGGGTATCGGCAGCCAACGACCCTAAATGTATTGCTGCATTTGCTACCCAAAGTTGAATAGAAAGTAAAAGGCAAGGGGGAATTAAGTGTGCCAATTTGATTAGTTTGTTACGTGCCCGGAACTAAATGCATTGGAAATCGACGGTATCACTTTTAAGACCCCAAGATTACTTTTACGAATTCTGTTAAACACCTAAGTAAAATGAAAAGACACAGAGCACATAAAAATTCCCCACAACAGATACAGTACGGTGAAAAAACACAAAATGTGTGTGAAAGTGAGAGAGAGAGAGAGAGAGAGAGAGAGATACCGCAGCATCGGAAGTCCACAATGTTAAATTGTCTCTAAGAAGTTGCATGATCAGTGTGCTGTCCTTGTAAGATTCTTCACCAAGTGCATCTAGCTCTGATATAGCTTCATCAAAGGCCTGCAAAAACATGGACATCTCACAAATTTCCGTACGAGCAGATATTGTTGAAAGTTGATAGATGATTAGATACATATCGGTAATGGATAATTTCATTAATGTGACATTTTTTTATGCAAGTGGACAAAGTGCGTGACAATGAAGTTTGGAAGTTTCATATCAATATTCCTACTTTAACAAGGCATCTGATAGTTGGTATGAAACTGTACACAGCTGTTTTATTTGCTTAAAATTATAGTTTTAAATATTTTTAAACAATTACTCTGCATATGACAATAATGAACAGATGCCTATGGGAAGTCCATTGCTAGCATTTCATTGTACAGCTCTTACATATCATTAGGATATTGGAGCATATATTTTGGATTGGATCAAATGAGAATGGTACAAGAGAAATGAGAACCAATATGGTGGAATTGGTTCAAGATCCAAGGAGTCTAAACCATCAAATTTAAAGATATCTCTAAAAAAACACAGTAGCAGTTAAGTAAACAAACAGAGTTTTCTCTAAAAAAAACATTAAGATAAAAGTGCAATGTAAAAAACCAGGAGTGCACCAAAAGTGATAATTTCATGTTCGCCAAGGATGACATGAAGTGTCATTATCAAAGGACCACACCAATTGACTTAAAATTATTAGCAAAAAAAATGCAAAAGACTGGTATCTATGTGCATCCAATAACAATAGTTCATTCTTATTAAACACCAAATACAGCTAAATAGCTAGTTCTCATCCATCAAATAACAATAAATACAGATAAACTCATAAACCATAATCATATACTCTGTAGGTTACAAAACAACCACAAGATAGAAACTGATGAGAGCAACTGGACATCATGGGAGACAGATAGAAGTTGGTATACCTGCTTGGCGAGGTTGCAAGCACGCTCAGGTGAGTTGAGGATTTCATAATAGAAGACAGAAAAGTTAAGGGCAAGTCCTAGTCTGATGGGGTGAGTCGAAGCCAATTCACCCAATGCAATGTCCTACACCAAAGAGAAAAAAGGTTACTCCTTTAACACAAAGCAAACCAATTCAGCCCGTTTTGAACTCAGCAAGTGATACAAAAACAATATAGAGAGGAACATATAAAAAAGATAAAATAAAAAAGAATTAGTTAATAGTTTCAAAGTCAATGTATCAAACTTAAATGTTTTCCAAACAACATCTTCTTTAAATATTTCTATCATATAAAGACTAAGAATCTAACTAAATGTAAAAGTTTAAAAATTGTAATCTCCTTCATATTTTCTAAGGTAAAACAATTCTTGTCAGCATTTTCCCTTTCCCTACCATTTCTAGAGTTCCAACCATAGCCTGAAGCTTAATGAATATAAGCAAAGACAAGGAAAATACCCAACCTGAGCAGATTTGTATGCCAACAAAGTGCTCTCAGCTGCTTCCTTTCTCTCAGACCCGGTCTTGAACTCTGCAAGGTACCTGTGATAATCACCTTTCATCTTCAAGTAAAACACCTTAGACTCAGCAGCAGAAGCCGAGGGAATCAAGTGGGTCTCGAGAAGGTTCAAAATGCCATCACATATCTTGCTGAGCTCTGTCTCGATTCTTCCCCTGTATTCCTTAATAGTTTTGACAAGGTCGTCATGCCCACGGTTCTCCTCCTTTTGCTCAATCGAAGAGATGATCCTCCACGAGGCCCTCCTTGCACCAATCACATTTTTGTAAGCCACAGAAAGAAGGTTCCTTTCCTCCACGGATAATTCGTCTACATCCACTGTCTTGGCAACCTTCTCCATGAACTCAACCATTTCCTCATACCTCTCCGCCTGCTCGGCCAACTTTGCCATGTAGACATTCTCTTCCCGAGACAACTCACTTGACACCATCTTTGCAATATTTGTTAAATACCTAATTCTGCAGCAACAATGCAACATACCAGATATGAAAACAGACATCTCTACAATCATGTTTATTCATAATCATTTATATTTTGATTACATACAATGATACTAATATATGATACACTTTGAGTCACTGAATGACCATTAGATTTTAGTTCCTCACGATATAGCTCAATATAACAACCAATTTTTTCCTGAAGAAAACTAATCTTAAATTAATGAAGAAGAACCAATTGAAGCGTTAAGTGCGTTGTAATGTAAGATCACAATGAGATCTTACAAAAGCTAGTTCAAATTACAGTTTCAATCAGTAAATCAGAAGGAATATTATGTACTCTTTCAGAGTGAGAGTGCAAATTGCAGCCTCAATGGATGTGTACTGGAGTAAGGCAAAAAAAGCAGAAATAAAAACCTAACAGGCCTATATCATATCCAATCAAAAAAGTGAAATTTGCACTAAATAGGATTAAAACATAATGACTTTCCTAATGTAAGACAACTTTTTTATTCCCTAAATAAGATTTAATAATGACCAAGTGGGAGAAATAATGTCTAATAATAATGGACATTTAGTTGAATAATGACTACGTGATAATGATCAAAGGTCCTACATTGGGAAATAAAAACATATGGTGCTATATTAAGAAAGTCATTATGTTTTAGTTCTATTTAGGTAAATTTCTCATCAAAAAACACACTTTCGAGCATAAAAAGCATACTCTACCTATATCTAATCAACACCTAGTCCATACCTGACAAGAACATCTAAACATTATACACACATATATGCACAAAATCAACACAGACAATGCTCAGCATTACAAAACCAAAGAGGTAGTTGAGAATCAGCAGATTCGATCAAACGTAAATCGAATTAACCTTAGTTACTGCTTCAATCAACTAAACAAAGAGCCGAAATCACAAACTGAAACCGTAATTGAGAAGAACAGATTAAAACTTCGAATGAATAAAGGGATCAAATGGTGATGAACTTCGGATCTGCAACTTCCAGATAGAACTTAGAGATCCAATAAACGACTTACAGCAAGAAATCGAGA